GTTAGTAAATATTTCTAGCCTTCTCCAAAATAAGACAAAGACTTCTAGTATCCTATAAAAGTGTCTTCTCACAATTTCCATATGAGGTTTGCCTAGAATTTAGTTCAGGCCCATTTTCACCCTTCAGAAACTATTGTCAGTATATTTTTCCCATACAACACTTAACTGAATTTATATTTCAAAAAAAAAATTTGTTCACTGTTGTGACTTCCAGCTTCTTTTAGAATCCATTTAGTTGTTAGTCTTCATATGCCTGATAATGTATTTATCTGACCCTCTGTCACGAATAAGAGTTAGTCTTCCTTAGCACTTTGACTATATAGTATCATTACCTTTGACATATATTTACTTCAGCTTATGAGAAGCAGGTGTGCAATCTAGTGTTATTGTACTATACATAATCTATAAATTCTCTAGTAGTTTTTCATATTTACATTTGATCTTCGATAGTGTGCAATTTTACCATATGTACAGCTGTCTATATTTTAAAATTTATTTACCTGGGGGGGTGGGAATTATATGGGGAATATAACCAAGATGAAAATGCATACATTGTGCAAAAATGAAAAATGATGTAAAACATATATATATAAAAATTATTTACCTTGTTCAGTATTTGTTAAGATTTTTTTCAATCTGAGAATTCTTGCCTTTCTCTAATTATTGAAAAAAATTCATATACTATTTTTGCAAATATCTTCTCCCTCCATTATTTCTTCTTATATCTTGGAGCTTCTCAATCTAGCTTCCTTTCCTCAATGTCTCCTTCACATTTTTCTTTTCTTCCGATGTTGTATTCTGAGTGTTTCTCTTTATTAAATTAACATTGTTGCAATTCAGAGACACAGGATCAGACCTTCTCAGATAGCTTTCTAGTGACCACTTTCATTTTTCAATATCAAATTTACTCTATATTTCATCTTTCATGGTCCTTTCTACTGTAAGTATCTTTACATTTCTATTATTTGCAGTTGCTCTTTCTCATATGTTCTGTTCTTGCTTGATAACTTAATGTTCTCTTTCCATATGATATACAATCCTATATCTCCTTGAGAAATGTAAACATACTTTAAATGCTATCTTATTTATGGTAAACATACTTATTTTAAATGCTATGTTATTTATATTTTATCATTTGTGAACTCTTCCAATGTGTGACTCTGTCTCATACACACAGCAGGTATTTCCTTGTATATGTTATAATTTTCAATTATAACAGGTGAGGTTATCTTCCAAAGGACCTTATTTTTATCTTCACCTCTCTATATGGTGTGGTTTCATGGCTGCTTCATCAGCTCTCTGCGTTGTTTATCCCAATTAGGCTATTGATTAGGGTAGGTTCTTAAATTATTGGTTGTTATTGCTGTTTTTGTCAAATGACCTCATAGAAAACTCAACAATATCCTTGTTTCCTCTCCCTATGTATACCATAGATAGGTATACACATACTATTTTATTTGTAACTATAGGAAGTTGATAGGTTCCATAAAACCCAGTCACTCGTCCTGTGGGAGCATTTAGATCACTGCTTAATAACTCTGGGTGAGACATTTTGGAGGTTTTTATCTCACGTGGGTAGAAAAATTCTATTTAACTCTCTTGCTATATAGTAACAGTTTCAATGATCTTGAAAAGTATTGTTTGCTCATGTTTTCATTTTAGCTTTTCTTATAGGTGTATAACTGTAGCTCATTGTGGTTTGATTTGCATTTCCTAATGACTAATGATATTGAATATCTTTTCATGGGCTTATTTGCATGTATACATTAGAGAGGGTATAAAGTGTCTGCCCCTTATTAAAAAGTCAGGTTGTTTGTTTTCTTATTATTGAGATTTTAGAGTTCTTTATATATTCTAGCATATACTCTAGTCAATTATTAACTATATGATTTACAAATATTTTGGTGACTTGTCTTTTTATTCTCTTAAAAATGTTTTTTAAAGAGCAGGATCTTAAAAGTTTGACAAAGTACAATATTTCAATGCAGTTTTTTGAATTGTCACTTTGGTATTGTATCTAAGAAATCTTTCATTAACCCTAGTTGGCAAAGGTTTTCTCTTACTTTTTTTACATTTTGTAAAATGTTTTACAATTTTAGACCTGTGGTCTAGTTAATTTTTAGAATTAACTATAGTTACTATGTATTTTAATGATATTAAAAATTTTTTCTCCTTTTTATATGGAGCTGGGAGGAGGCTGGTTATGAACTTGTTTACTCCAGCAGATTGATCCTTAATTGGTACTATATTATACAGCATTTTCCTTCAATAGTTCATTTGCTTGATATGCAAACTAATTATATATAGGCTAATTGGCTGGTTTCCAATTAAGAAAAGGAAATGACTGGCCATGCATGAAGTGCTGGTTAATACAAAAAAGTATGTAAATCATTCTCCCTACTCTCAACAGACTGTCTCACTCTCCCAAACAACTACATTGGGAAAGTTATTTGCATAATGAGATCAAACCCATTGATATAAAAATACATTATCAAGGGCCCCCCTGGTGGCACAGAGGTAGAGCTCTGGGTTGTGAAGCTGCCTGCAGTCTCTGCAGCACCGGTTTGATCCCCCGCCACCGGGCAAGGGTCCCACATGGCGCGCAGACCTCTCCTGCCGCCTGCTGCTCCACTCAGCAGTGCACTTCGTCAGTCTGCCTGTTCTGCTCTCTGCTCTGGCTCTGGTGAATTCTCTCACCCTCCCGTGCTTCTGACTGTACCCCAGTGCTTGTATAAATAAATAAATAAATCTTTAAAAAAATTATTAAAAAATACATTATCAAATATATTTTTGTAATTAGGTAGTATCTATCTCAATAAATCAGAGCAAAGGTGATCATTAAAAATATGTCAGCTCCTCTTAAGTTCATTAATATTTCATTCACATGTGCCTCTAAAGGGCAATACTAAGAAACAGACAATAGAAAACCTAAACAAATGCTAGAAAACTGACTAGAATTGAGGCTACCAGGAGTGTAGGACTGGGGAGCAGATGTTGAAAGGGGCCCAATGGACTATGGTGGAGGACCAAGGGTGCTCTCATGGTGGGTGTAGTGCAGTAACATACATGTGAAGAGGTATGAAACTATACCTCTAAATCTTATACAGTACTGTAAGTAAATATTATCTCAATAAAAATATTAAAAAAAATGTGAGCTCATGATGGCATCTCTTCAAAACATATTGATGAGAAGTAAAATGAATATACATGTTATCATGGAAACAGATGGATAACAGGTCACCTAATATTGTTTTGAACGTTAATATATTTTCACAACAACAAACTTCCAACACTGAAAAATGCAGTGCTGGTCAATACAGGAAAGTATGTAAATCATTTTCCCTACTCTCAACAGACTGTCTCGCTCATCCAAACAACTACATTGTCTACAATGTCTCATTGACATTTTTCAAGAGAAAATAAGAACAAATTTCTGTGTGACTCAGAAAAAAGAGCTACTTTAATAACTAATAAATATTTTTACAGGTGGAAAGGGGAAAAAGAAAACAAAGGACTTGAGCAATCATACCTCAAATACAGATTCAAGCCCAGTTTGAAAAATAGAGGTCATTCTGATAACCCATTATCTTTGTTATAAAATTCCAAATCATAAAATGCAAGTCTTAAGAAATAGTTTCTCCATTTTCATCTTTCTGGAAAACTACCACTAACAATTTAAACTATTGTTATAAAATGTACTTAACCAATATTTCTCTTACAATGACAACTATATTTAGTTGGGAAAGTGCTTCAGACGGAATGTAAGACCTTAAGAGGCTTTTGATATTGATAGATATTTTAGATAAAACAAGACCAAAAATTAACTTGTTACTTTGGAGACAGAAGGGAGGGGAATGAAAGAGAAAGAGTAGATGTCAGCTAGAAAGGAGACAACCATGCATTCCCTAATAACTTCTCCCCTTATTCAAAGTCTTGAATCTTCAGCAAAATGAGCACACAAATTACAAATTTTGTACTACTGAACATGTTGTGAAACTGATGAAGAAACCAGACCTTCATCCCGGATAAATATAGAGCAAACAGAGGTAGCATGTGCAGATGGCACATGCCTGGCAGCAGAAGATACTGAGCTAGCACAGGAACAAGCACAAACAATAGGGTTTCTCACACAGGGGAAACCGTGGAACTTGCATTTGGACCAAATACAGCCAGATCCCTACAGATCAGGGGGCCCCAGCGGGTGTATCATCTGGGAAACATGCATTATACTGGTATAAAAAACAGGCAGATTTATATTGACTGATATAAAAACATATCCTTAAAAATTATTAAATGAAAAAGCAAGTTGTATAACAGTGTCCCAGTTTTCCAAGTGAGCTCACTGGAAGTTGAATTCCACGAAAATTTATTCTAAGAATCAGATCTGTATTAAAGATGAGTTCAGACACAAAAAACCAGTTCTGTTGTACGGAACCATGTTGAGTCCATGTGGAAAGGCAGTGGGAGAGGGTGAGGGGAGTCAGAGAGCAGTGGAGGGGCCAGTAGAACAGACCCTTCAAACAAAAGTAGGAGCAGCCAAGGCTACATCATTTGCCAGCACAGGGACAAATGGAATCATCCATTGTTAAAAATTTTTTAAAGAATTGCAACCTGGCAGCTGTGCAGCATTAAGTCACGTGAGGGCCCTTTGAAATGTCTGTTCCTGCGCTACCACACTGGCTCTGACAAAAAAGACACAATCCACAAATCCTCTGCCTTACTCTGTTTCTCTTTTTCATTTAAATGCTCTCTTTTGGGGGGAACATCTCTCAACCATATGATGAGATATTAAAGTTTACTTGACCTGGATCTCCTTACTTCACATCTATTCTTGCCTTCTTTCAACCAGGCAACTTGGAAAGCAGCTCCTGCAAATTCTCTTCATGGGAATCACCTAAGCAAGTCTCTCACATTGTCTAGATATAAAATCTTTCATACACTGGACACAAAACATGCCATTCACTCATTATTTTGCATTTCTAATAAAAGCAAAATCTTACCTGATTGCTATAGGAGCCATGTGGTGAAAAGAGCAAGGGTTCCTAGCATACAGTAGGTTCTCAATACTGCTTCAAGGATCAATGACTTCATAAAAATTTCCAATTCTGAGTTTTCTTGGAGAAATAATTTCACATTGAGAGGCTTTGGCTTCTTTTCTGAAAAATAATGAGATAATTACCAAGTGTAAAAATGTCTATGTGATTCAAAATGTGCAAAGATACATTTAAAGAGAAAGAGCTGAGAGGGTGGGAAGGATGATGCTCACAAGTGTTTTCTCTGTTGTGGAAAAGTGATACATGTGCTGTCGGAAGAGGAAAAAATTCCATAAACACTATTTCTCCATATCCAACATAGTCAATTAGTGTAGGGATTTATATAACTTCCATATAAATACATTTATTATTACAGCTGTGTTATTAATTCATTCTACAAGTCTAAATTCCCACTATGTTACTTCCATGTGGAAAATATGGCTAAGGAGATTAAGGTGTGACTTTATCTAGTTCTACAGAGAGACTATAAATTGGGTAAGAAATGAGATCAAGGTTTGTAATCCTGTGTTTTAGTTTTTGGGAAGAATAAAATGGACTCTCTTCATGAGTCAATGTGTACCCCCAAGCATAAAAAACTATTTCCAGGGTCTCCCCTGGTGGCCAGCAGTTGAACACTGGGCTGCAAAGCTGCCCGCAGCCTCTGCAGCGACAGTTCGATCCCCGGCCACCAGAGAGGGTCCCACATGGCATGCAGACCTCTCCTGCTGCACCCGCTGCTCCCCTCAGCAGTGCATTTCGTCAATCTGCCTGTTCTGTTCCCTGCTCTGGCTCTGGTGAATTCTCTCACCCTCCTGTACTTCTGACTGTATCCAGTGCTTGTATAAATAAATAAATAAATCTTTAAAAAAAATAAAAACTGTATTTCCAAAAGAAATAGGAACAGAAGCAAGAAAATGACCAAGAAAACAAGTGGCTTTTCATGGTATTTAGTATGGAGCTTAAATACAAAGTTTCCCTTGAAATGAGGCTTTATTTATTGACAAATAGAAATCCAGATCTTAATCATCATTACGATATTAGCTAATCCAGAGTCTCTTGGAAATGTTAAGATTCATTTCTGTGTCTTAGAGAAGGAAAATTAGTGACCTCCTCATTTGCAATTAAATGTCTACTTAACCCCTTTCTCTTCAGAAGTAGAGCCACACCAAAGAAGGATTTTCCCAATAAGGCTCACAAATTTAAAGTAGTCTAAGCAAATGTAGAATGCGAGTTCATGGGCTGTGCAGAATAAATCAAATTACTAGAAGTTTCATATCAACCAAATAGCATTTTTTTCACCTGCGGTCATTCTGAATTATGAATGAAAAGCATGATTTGAAGAAGAGAATTTTGTTTGGAAAAATTAAATGCATTAAAAAATAAACTAAAAAACTCAGTGAGGTTGAAAAAAAGTTGAAAAAACTTTATTCAGCAGGAAAGTAAAATAGACACAGAGTCAATTATGGCTAGTGAAAAACATCCAGACCTGAAGTTTTAAAGATTTGAATTGCAGCCTCATTACTTACTAGATTTGAGCCTGTAGACGAGTTTTAAAATTATTCCAAGCCTTACATTCCTCTATCCAAGGCTATAACAATCTGTAGGTCACGAGGGATGTTGTAAAAACCATACAGTAGAGCAGTGTAATGTTTATATTTGTGTTATACAAATAATGTGCATTCTCCCATGAAATTAAAATACAGAACAATATTCCCTCTTCTACGCAATTATTAGTTTGAGAAATGAATTTTGTATACTATTGTGTTTATTTTACAGACATTACTTTCATATGTATTTCATATGATTCTAAGGGTTTGTTTGTAAAACACCATACATACTTTTCTTTATTGGCTAAGGAATTTTTTATGAATTTTTATCTAGTGTGATTTTCTACATAGGAAATGACTTCAGAATACAATCCATACAATGTAATTTCACTGCATGTGGTAGTATTTTACACATTATTGAGAGCAAGCAGGTGTAACACACTATTAGTAATCTCAACAGAAATAAAGACAACAACAAAAGAAAAACAAACAAAAATCTCACATAAAGATATTCTCGAATTAGGCAATTTTTCCTATTGCCTATTTTTATATTTAGAGTGTATTGTCTTTAATCCTCAAACAATAATTTGTATTCAGTTAAGTTTCTATGGGTTTAAAAACAGTAGTTTTAGTTGAATGGAAGATACTTAGTAGCTATACAAATAGTTTCTAAGTAACAAGCTGAGTTTAAATCCATTGAATATATTTTTCTTTTCTTTTTTTTTTACAATAGATGGACAGGCAAATTTTTTTTCAAAGTTGTTTCATGGTGGCTAGAATTTCAGTAATAATAATTTATAAAATAACTGCTTATTCAACCAAAATTAATACATATTTGTTGTGTAGAATATACAGAGAACTTTAAGTTATAATTTATGAGATGTTTAAGTTGCAGAAATTTTAAAGGTGATTTTCTTCCTTTTTACAACTTAGAGATGGAAATGGTAAAAGGTTAAGTGATTTGTGTAAAGCCAAGCTTTTATCATCGAGAAGATGGAACTTGAAGTAGGAAAGTCAAAAGCCAATGAGAACATGTCAGCAAAGTCAGAGCAGCTGAAACAGCTTGAACTCTAGCCTTCCTCAGCTCCTCAGAAATAGGTACTCTGATTGGCCCAAAGTTGAAAAAACTTTTTATTTCCAACCTTCATTTTTCACTCAAATATACTGATCTTTTAAGAGAACAAAGCAAAAAAGAACCTCCTGGTGGCACAAGGATCAGTCTCAGCACTATCAAGCTACCACGAGCTACTGAAATGTGAGTTCAATCTCTGGCTAGGGAGCTAACCCACATGGTGCAACAGACCTCTCCTGTCTCGCCGGCTGCTCCCCTCAGCAGTGTATTTCAGTATCTACCTGTTCTGCTCCCCACTCTGTCTCTGGTGAATCCTCTCACTCCCCGCACCTCTGGCGTATGCCCCAGTTCTTGTATGCATAAATAAAAAAATATATCTTTAAACAAAAAAATAAGCAAAAAATAAAACCAGAACTTTACATAGCAAATAGTTTACAGACATGTAGACATGAACATCTAATTATTAAGTATATATTATCTATGTAAGAAATCCTTGCCAAATGGAAGTATTCAATTTAGATGTACCAAATATATACCCATATAACTGATCATTACTCTTTCAAAATAATGTAATGAATACATATCACACACACACACACCACACACACACAGAGAGAGACACACACACCCCAGTCTACTTAACTAGACTCTCAAATAGGGAAGAAAGAATTTAGAATTTTCAAGTTTTTCCACTCAAGCACATACATATTAATGCCACATATAAAGAAAATGATTCTGCTACAGATTTAAAAATAATTAGTAAGTGATATCATTATATATTTCTAGTTTGTTTGTATTAAGTTTCCCCAGAATAAACACATAAGGGTCATGGAAATCATAGGAGGATATGAACTCTGTTTCTGCGTTTTCAATAGCATTTAGAAAAATGTTGCCTAATATACTAATAAGCATGAAAGTATAATTATATGTTTGCAAGCCAAACTCTTGATTTTATTTCCACTTTTGGTGGACTGAATGATTTTCTTTGATTTGTTTCTCTGTGATCACATCGCCCTCTCAGGTATTTACGTAATATAGCCATTATCCTGAAGATTTTAGTATCCTTATGGCCTGCAGAAACATGAAAAAGTTTCATGTGATACAATCGTAGCTGTAAATCCTGCCTCCATCACTTACCAGTCAGATAATCTGGATCAAGATACTCATTTGTTGAACGTCTGTTTTCTCCACTGTAAGTGAATATATCGCATGGTTTACGGTAAGGATTAAATGAAGTGTATAATGTGCTTAAGCATTTGCCACTTAATAGCTCTTTGTTTCTAAGACTTCAAAAGTTTCTCATTTTCCTCAGAGAAGGAATATCAACCTCAGAAAAGAATGACTTCCATGGAAAAAATCTCATTTGAATAATTACAGTAATCAGCCTTATTTGTTTTTCTCTATCTATGTTGTGTTCCCTTTACAATAAATTTTATATATATTTTTCTTTTTTGTTTCCAACATTTTAATGCAGAATTGGCCAAAAAAAAATATCTATTTGGGTTGTATACCATGCTTTAAGGTGTATAAAGTGATGATGATTTATTAAGCATATACATTGTAAAATGTACACCACGATCACATTCATCAATTTATCTATTTTTTATGTGTTTGTGGTGAGAACACTAATGATTTAGTCTCTTTCAAGTATACAGTACAGAACTATTAACTATGGTCATGATGCTATACTTTAGATTCGCAGAAATTATTCATTTTATAACAAAAGTTTGTACTCTTTGACCAACACTTCCCCATTTCTCCCACTCCTCTCCCCCCGTCACCCCCAACCAGCCTGTGCATCACCTTTCTGCTCTTTGGTTCTATGAGCTTGACTGTTTTGTACTCTATTTATAAGTGATATCATACAATATGTGTCTTTCTGTGTCTGGCCTACTTTACTTAGCATAATAATATTCTCTAGATTTATCCATCCTCATCCTGCCACAAATGGCAGTATAGTCTTCCTTTTCATGACTGTACATGTATACCTCACATATATGACACAGTCTATTTATTTCTTTATCCATTCATGTATTGATGGACACTTAGATTGTTTTCATGTCTTAGTGGTTGTAAGTTATGTTACAGTGAACATAGGAGTTTAGATATCTAAACTCTCATTGTGGTTTTGAGTTCTCCTAATGATTAAATATGTCATATATCAGTTGGCCATTTGTATACCTGCTTTGGAAAAAAAAAATCTATCCAGGTCCTTTGCTCATTTTTTCATTGGTTTATTTGTTCTTTCAGTTATTGAGTTGTATGAATTTTTTTAAAAAGATTTATTTATTTATTTATTTATACAAGCACTGGGTACAGTCAGAAGTGTGGGAGGGTGAGAGAATTCACCAGAGTCAGAGCAGGGAGCAGAGCAGGCAGACTGACGAAATACACTGCTGACGAGAGCAGAGGGTGCGGCAGGAGAGGTCTGCGTGCCATGTGGGGCCCTCGCCGGTGGCTGGGGATCGTCGAACTGGCGCTGCAGAGGCTGCGGGCAGCTCTGC